CTGTAGAGCAATGGAATATGAAAGCGGTGAGCCAAACCCAGACATAAGAGGGAATCCCAGATGTATTGCATATCAGCCACAAACTATTCTTGAAATGTCATACAAAATAATAAATAAACTGTGTAGTGAAGCAGAGCAGAGAACAATAACCTGCCCAGTACACTTTATCAATATGAAGTCATAGTCCGACAGCCAGGGGAAAGGAAAGGAATCAGAAATAGAGTTTAATCAGGTGCTATTGCTSGCAAAAACTCCAGGGGCCTTACAGAAGAGAGAAATGTAAATTAAGTCCAGTAGCATGGGATAAAAAAGTTCAATCTTCAGGTGAAAATGTTTCCTTTGGGGGGGAATGTAGGAAACATTTCTTTACTGAAATAATTCAACCGACTGTGAAAATAAATGTTGTCATTTTGAGATATTTGATCAGATTGCTTGAGTTGGGGAAGGATGGCAAGAAAAAAATCTAAACTAAGTGCAAAGCCTAAAGCATAAGATTTGAGATTGGTCTTGCTGTCCTGAGAGGCTCTCCTAAGGGTGTATTACAGACAGGAGGTGTCCCTCTCCCCTGTCAAAGCTGCCCCACTTCATGTTAATTATTCTTGAACTTTACCCCATCCCAAGTGAATATCCTGACCGTCATGCCAGTTTTTCAACTTTTTTCATTCTCTCTGATGTAATAAATCCTGTACTAGTTATATGAAATGAAGTGGCTTCAGTAGGAAGCACCGAAACCGAGAGTGTCCTTGGATGCCTCTCACCCTGCACGCGCAATAGCAGGATGGGTCAGGACACTTTTCTGTGATTCGGAGGACAGGCTTTCAAATTCCCGCTCCCTGTCAGGTCAAATGGCTTTTAAAACTGCTATCCTCATTTGGTGTTGTAACCATTGGTTATTAAGTTAAATGGAAGAAAAACATATGGATTTCCTGTTAGTCTAGCAACTGGATAAAATTCTCTCTGTGGATGTATGTACAGAGTGCACACACACACAGTTCACATGCTTGTTCTGTTGTCAACAAGTTCACCTTCATGAAGGGGAGTCCATCATCTTCAGTTTGTTCTGCTGAGATGTTCAGTCTGTTCTGTACAGTCTCCTAAAACTCCTTAGCGCTACAGGGACTGCTTGTGGCCCCTCGCATCGTTTTCTCTCACCACCACCCTGTGGAGGTGCCAGTCTCTGTTCTAGAGCCCTTTAACCCTCCATTCATTTAAAACATTTAATTCTTAGAGTTTTCAGAGACAGAAGGTGCCACCTCCTGTGACCTTCTGCCCAGTGGCACATTCCCGGGAAGGGAGGGCGTGATGCCTCTCGCTCCAGCCGCTCTTCTGTGGTGCCTGTACAAGCACGCTCACATTCCTGCTGCCTTTGCCCAGTCGTCAGCGCACCCACCACAGAGAAATGTATCAACTAGCTCCATAAAGGGCTGTGGAGACCACCATACCTGATCTTGGTATGAACTGGAGGAACCAAACCTGGTTTTTGTTTAGTTCCCAAATCTACTCCAAACTTCCTAAAACAGAGAGAATTTAAATGCCATGAATAGTGGGAACAATATTGTGGCTTGGATTTTTGTGTGTGTGTGAGTGGTTTTACCTTATCTCCCTCACCCCATCTGCTCATCGTGAGGCATCGGCTGACCTCCCGYTCCGCAGTGGTAGGAGATCCTGCTAGGTGACCAATGGTTACAACTGGAAAGCAAACGGGTGCCGTGGCACAGCCCTCTTAACACCAGCGCTGCCTTCCCCCCTTATCACTCTTTTGTAATCGAGGGTTTGCRCCCACAGCAGAGGAGCTGTGCCCAGATCCAAACTCATAGGTGAGAGGTGTCTCCTCTCCGCTTTGCTGGTGATCAAGGGCAACATCAAACTAACAGTGGGATGCCCCTTGGCAGTCTGATGAACAGAAAAGCCTCCTCTCTTGAAGCTACAAGTAATAGCTAAACTTCTTAATTAGAAATAAATAATGCTGAGCCAAACAAAATTGATRATATTTGGATGTGGAGAATTAAAAACTTTCTCTTACACTTCCTGTTTTGCAGTCTACAAAAGCTTAGTTGTCTGTTTGCTTTCAGACTTTCAGGGTTAGGCCCCAAATATGCTTGGCTGAAGTCTCTGCAAATAGCTTTATTTAGATGTGAAAGGAGAAAAAAAATAAAAAACCCCGTCTTGTTCACTCTGTTCCGAGTTTCAAGTGCTCAGTACCCATGAAATGGATTGCTTACCAGGAGATAATGTCTTTTTTGTGCCTTTTAAAGTCTGTGAAAAATGCCTTCCTGTTTAATAGGTTGATTAAAGCTGTATATGTCCCAGAAGATAAATGTGATTATTTATCATACTGTGCCCAAGATAATGACAGTAAAGAAGACAAGGTTGAAACTTGGTGTGATTTCCTCTCTTCCACATCCTGGGGCATCCCGAATACTGCACACAGATGGTGCTCGACATAAAGGAGCACATTAGTTGTTAAACATTTTTTTTCCCCATTAACTAATTTAACAATATGTTCCTGGTATTTAAAGAAATAGACCAATCACACTCAAAAACACTTCCGTCAGCTTAATTCTGATTGCTAAAATAGACCATTTGCCCAGATGGGATTGCTTACTGGCCTAGCGATCAGGTTAGAAACATCCAGAAATTCTGCACCCACAAGCTCAGGCTCTGGCAATGTTGATTCAGCTCTTCCTCTTTAATTGGGTTTCAGGCATTTAGCTCTCTGGAGAGTTTTGAATGACAGCCTAAATATCGAAGGCCAGTCTGCTCTGCGTATGTGCTAGGTGACCTGAATTTTCAAAAAGCAAGAGCTCTTGCAAGTCTGGCTTAAGTCAGCTATGGGTGACCAAAACCACAGCAAAATCCCCTGAGATGCTTTCACCAGATGCTTTGGGTGCTGAACCAAATTAAACAAGTGTTTCCATTTGTCACCTTCCACGGCAAAGACACCACTAGGGTCCTTGGGTCCTTGGGACTGGCTGAGTTGAGGGGTTTTCTTTATAACCATGAGGACAGCAGTGTAGCCTGCATGTGTTTCTTCCCTGTACATCCATTTTCCATACTGAGCTCTCTTCAGCACTGCTTTCCATTTCTCTTTTTGTTTCCAAGCAACACAGTAGTATAGAGGGAGCCCACATATTATTAAGTAATAGCCTACAGACTAATTTTAGGAACACACGTGGTCTCCATTATTCTTATAATGAAATGTGACCAGGAAGTCAGCACAAATCACTGCAAATGAAACACAGAGGCCCACAAAAAGTGACAGAACCAACTTGAAACTCACGGTAGCCCTTCCACATTACGCACTTCCAATCGCCAGTCTGGAGTCAACTCCATTTTAGTGTAACTCTTTGCACTAGAAAAAAATGATAGTGAAAATAACCTTCCTCTTCTGTTTTTTTTCTTGCCCTCCCTGATGCAGAAATAGTTTTTGTTTTTAAACAAAATAAAAAAAAAAAAACTAAGGAGCCACTAGACCTACCAGGTTTTTTTTTTGTTTCCATGTGTACTTCTAGCTATACAAGTCTTGAAATTCAGTTTAGTTTTTTAACATATACTGTCTGATGGGATTTGCTTCATTTTGTTCACTTGCAGAAACTGCATACTCCATGGTATTTAGCTCCTCTTACTCTTCCATGTACTTCTCCCCTATATTTGTTCAGAGAAGGTTACATTTTCTAGGGCTTTGCTGTGGTTTCCAGTATATTCCAAATATTTTCATAAGCAGAAAAGAAAAAAACACAAATGAAGCAGAACATTCAGCTAGTGAAAAGAACTGCACAGTGCAGGAAATACAAGAACTCCTGTATTTTTTCGTTTTGATTGAGACTAAATTTACTTAAAAATTATGTTCTCACTCTTTTACATAAACCGTTGTCTAGCGAAAAACTTGTTCTCAGCTGAAAGTGCAGAATAAAGCCTGGAATAATAAGGCAATCTATGAATCTCACCCTCTTTGGAAGATGTTTTAAGTTTGTTCTTACACCTTCACATTGATTTACTAAATAATTCTGCACTTGCCTGTAAGTGTTATTCTACTTCAAAAATTTCTATCTGTACATTTCACTAGGTTTGGATTTTTTGAAGAACATAATCGAATATTTCCATTTGGGTGCTTCCAGATTTGATTCATCCTACCTATCACGAGGAAATATTTTATAATACAGATCCTGCATATATAAAACTAATTATATATCAGTGATCCTGTTTTTATAACACTGATGCTGGGGCTAGCTGTTACCAAAAAGGTTGCCTTGTTGTGTCAGGACTAGCCCTTGTCTGACCCTCTTTTGCAGGGTGAGCCCCCTGGCCTCTATCCTCATATGGTCCCTGGGCGGATGGGAGAGAAACTTTTTTTCCAGATGCAGCCCATGGTTAGATCAGGTCAGATGCTTTGTAAAATTCCAGGATTGGATGTTCGTTTTAGTATGGCATAAATCACTCTTTGCACATCTRTATCTATCTTTATTGACTGTGCAGGGAACTTAGATGACTAATTATAAATTTCACCAGAAGCTTCTTCACCTAGATAAAGCCAGGTAGCCTGGATCCCACCTTACATAATAAAGGTGAGCAACATCAAGGACGCTGTGAGAGTTGCATTTATTTTGTTTAGCACTTGACTAGCTTTAATGGCATGGACAGCATTTTCAACTTAGCAAGCCACCATCAATACATGTAAGCACAGGGGCTGCAAGCATCAGCATGTGCACAGATTAATAGAAACATGAAAACAGTACCATTGCTGTGCATTTACGATGGCTGTGGGCACCACAAATTATTTTATACTGGATTACAAGCATCAAGCTATGGAATAAATGTCAGCTATTACACTTCAGTTTCTTTAAAGATATTATTTTTGTGCTGTCATGTTTCATAGGGAAACCATACTTCTCTATTATTCATCTGACATTTAAACTTCTTTTTTTTATCATTCTTTCTTAGGAGTCTAAAGATTTAATCACAAAGGACAGMTTTTAAGAGGACTTTATTAAATCTGACAGCTGACTAATTGGACTGTGTGCAATTAATAAAAAAAACTTTATAATTGAGTATTCTGCAAAGGATTGTTCAGTGATGGCTTTTTTTTAAGGATTATTATTTCTGCAGTTTTACAGATCTATAACTCTGCAAATACAGTGTTTGACTAAGACATTATTCTTCCTTGTTTACGCCCACGCTTCATGAGATCACTGCAGTGTGAAAAATAACATACTGCCTAGATTTCTCTTGGTAGAAGAGCCACAGGAGCCACTGAAATACCAAAAGCTATACTTGACTGTGTATTTTCTTAGCTGAAAACACTTCCAGTAGAAGACAAAGTATATCAGTATTTTATACCATTTTCACTTACAACTTAGATTTTCATACTACAATAGCATCTTTTATGMAAATGATCAGATTTTTGTAAGATCCAATAAAAAAAAGTGCTACTGAGGAAACAGAGCACACTTTGTTGAGGTCTCTCCTCGGCTCTACGGAGCAGCTCAGTAGGGCATTCCTTGCATTCTGGATGCTTTTAGCTTTCCCTTCAGACATTCAAAAATAGCATGGTTCAGATACTTCCTCCGCTGCAACCTTATATATCGCCTTTATTTTTAGAAGAGTCCACTGTATGCTTTACCTCCAGGTTCATTAACAGATTTGTTACAATTTACTTGAGGGTTACATTCCTCACAGGACATGTTCAAATAACACTGAAAGTACTCTTGGTTCCTAGAGAAATTTCCTAGAATTCCTCTTGAGGGACAGGATGGAATAAGGGCTTGTTATTGCATTTTCATTATGTTTACTACTGAAGGTTAGTTTCTTCTTCAAATTTTGGTAAAATAAATTCTTTTTTTCAAGATGGATACAACTCACCTTGGATTTCCTAACAAATCAACTATATCAAACAGGCTGAAGAGGTACTAGCAAACATACAGCATAATAAAAATTGTTTTTGTAAACTCTCTTGTTGTTAGATGTTCACAGGCATCACCAGGTCCAGTGAATTCGGTAATTCACTTAGTCTGAGTTCTCTTTTCACTTAGTCTTAGAGTTTGCTAAGAAAACTCTAATCTGAGTTTTCTTATTCTGAGTTTTTCTTTTCACTTAGTCTGAGTTTCTCAGATGAGACACCTGTAGTAGTTCCCCTGACATTCTTGCTGAATGGGATGTCTCCAAAATTTTCTGCTTCTTTCATTTGGATTTAAGTAAGTCTTCCCATTCTACAGTAGGTTCACTTTTTTTAGGAATTGCTGGAAACATTGACTGCATTTTAGTTCGGAACTCTTGCATCTATAAAAGAGATGAAAAAATAAAATTAGTCATGTTATAAGAAGGAAATAAAATAACACCACAAAATACAGTGGGGTAAAGAAGAGGTAAAAATACTTAAAGATAACAGAAAATCAAGTCCCTCCCTCTGATTATGTTAGTTCAAATAAATATGCAACAAAAGGACCCACAACAATCTCCATCTTTTTTTTCTCTTTTAACATTTGCAGTGGATTAAAGGCCCAAATGGTCTGTTCACGGATTTTAAAGGAACTAAAAACTATTGCTCAGTTCTGACTTAATTCTGGTCTATCTACAACAGCGGGTATAGGTGACATAGCATAATCTGGTTAAACTTTCAAGTAATAGTAGAAAGGAAAAAAAGATTCCTAAATACATATTACAGCATGCTTTTCTTTCACTGTTGATAAATCAAAATGTTAGCTGCAAATATAAATATTTCTGGKTTTATGTTCTGTGTATAAATACATAAATACCAATCACCAAATCTTGACCCATCACCAAATCTTTATTTCTTGTAACAATATCTGAATCAATAGTCTGGGCATGCTAGAACTTAAGTTCTTTCTTTAAAGATCACTTCTTTTTCAAGGTATCTAAATTTAACAAGGTCCTTTCTTCTTCTTTTTTTTTTTACATATAGATTCTTTTTGAAGTATAGATGTGGAAAAAGCAAAACAGTGAAAATCCTGTTGCATAAACAGCAGGATGTACAGGGGAAGTTTTGGATTACTATTTTTAGGAAGCGCTTTCCAGACCCTATGACATTCATGCATGGAAGACAGGATGTGATATTCAAGCACTGGATGCAGTGACCTCTTGAATACCACATGCTGTCTCTGTGAGTTCATCCCATGGAGAAATTACACGAAACCTAGATATTCTATTCAACTCAAAATACATATTATATGAAGAAATAGGCAGAAAATTCATGGCCTAATGATCCTTTTTGGTTTATCACACTTMTGTTTTTAAGTAAAAAGTATTTCACTGCCTGCTGTTTACACTGATCAGATAGCTGTTATTAATTATCCTTCTTTTTTTCACAAAAAAACAGTTAGCTTTTGTCTGCAATAGTTCCTAAACAAGTATTTTTGCTAGTTATTTAAAATGAAAAAAATCTCATATGGACACTAATATTCCCAAGTATATGAACATCATAGCTGATGGAGGAAAACAGCCCACATTACATTAAACAACTGCTGACAATTAAATACAAGTACTTACATTAGAAAACACTTTTAGGAGCTTTAGCTTTTTTTTTTTTTTTTTTTCTTTTTTCCAATCCTCTTTAATTAAGTTATCCTATTTCTCCCATGTATGCAAACTGTTTGATATATATATTTTTAATTTCTAAAGAGTCAACCAATTTCTCCAACTCTTCTATTGTTTCCTCTTGCTCTGAGTACATATCTAAATCTGGACATTTATTTTCTTTCTCCTCTTGGTGAGAAAATGCAGTGCAGCATTTCATTAGGACCTTGTTTTGGACTACTAAGGTATTTGCCCCATCTCTTCTCCAGGTGAAACCCTGTGAGAGCAGTTCTTTGATGCTACAGAGTCAGCAGTATATATGCCCGTAAGTGACCACAGAAACTGCATCCCAACTCCCTTTCCTCCCAATGCCAAGGGTCTGTCTGCTGCCTGTCAGTTCTGCTGTTCAAGCTCGGAGGCCTCAAGCTCAATGTGTTGGGCCTGGACTGGCCAAAATATACTTAGCACGGGACTGAATTCAGCCTCYGGAGTAAGTCACACAGGTCTCAGGTTTGTGCTTGTTTGCGTCTGGTTGACAGCACCACACCAGGCCCGCTGCAACCTTAAAGGATCCATGTGGTGAAGGTGCAATTCATCCCCTGAACTCATGGAGTAGAAGCTGCCTTTCTATGGATTGGGCTTACTAGGTCTCCAGTTGCTCTCCTGCTTTGTGGTAAGCCTCTTGGGAAGGAGGTGAGTCTAGTTTTATTTGCTAGCAATACTACACGCTGAGGCGCAAAAACTGGGCCCTTACATTTACCTGTCCCTTTTAGCGGACAAACATGTTTCTGAACGAGGGAAATGCTGCAATTAAGAATCTGTGTCTTGCCTTGTCATATATATTAGATATATTAGGGTGCCTCTTCTCCCTTAAGTAATTTTCCRTATTTCCTGCAGCTTCCACAGTACACATGCCAGTGGTCTCAATCCAAAGGCGTTAATTTAATTACAAAAGCTAATGTGCTACGTACTGAGTAACGGAATATTTGGAAAGAATTCACTGAAATAGGTKCTTTTTTATTACTGCCAGCCATCCTGACACTGGGTTACTTGATTCAACTGTGATAACATCTTCAATTAACAGTGCAGCACCTCTTTCTGTTGCCTCCAGTATTGTAGGCCACTCTCTCAGATACTGCCTCTGAACCCAGTGGTACATGAACAGTTTTTAACACATTTCTTGATTTAGCATTCCAGCATGCTCTAGTCCTCGAGGCAACTCTCTGAAATGAATTTCACTCAAGTGAATTTCATTTTTTTTATCATAGATATTGCAAAGCTTGACGCTGTTTTTTTTTTCTTGCCAAATAAATTACAGTAACTGTTCCACCTCTGACTGTYAGGCTTTTTTCTAAAAGGGTATCATCTACTTTACTGCATTAAATAATCTGTAATAGCTACAGATCACTGTTATTTTCTTATCTTAACCTAATGATCCTGCCTCAGGTGGCAAAAATATGGGGACCTAAAAGCATCTTCCATTTAATAATGTCTTTTTAATGTACACCATTGACAGAATGTCATGCAAAAACTGGGATAACACTATTACTGAGAGCACTTACGTGGCTGTTCATATTAAAATGAAGGAAGAAGGGGTAAAATAATCTTTATGAATTCTAGAATTAAAGTTCTAGAAATGTTCTTTTTAATATCTGACATTTGTAATAGGATAGCCCAGACTGTAGGAATTATTTGTTTTCTATTTTAGCAGGTGTACTAGTAAGAACTGCTTACAGGAGCTTGCAAGGGAAAGGAGGAGCTGGAGGAGCCGGAATGCAGCCTGGCAGCACCTCCATGCCTTATATTCCGATGTGCCACCTTCCCTTCCACGTGCCATCAAGATGAGACAGGTTGCCCTGAATTTAGGAGCGTCAGAGAGGCTTGTTCGTACCACCTCTTCCCGAAACCTTAAAATGTTTGCTGCCACCCTTGGCAGCAAATGCTTTCCGAGGTCTGCATGTAGAAATAGCAAGTTGTCTGCAGAAAACAGCAAGCCTGGAGCCCCGCTGGTACCTCCACAGCAAATCAGGCAGCTTCCTGCCTGAAGGTACTCCCTGATCTCAAGGGAAAAGGGAATTCTCGCCACAGGTTAACTTGTTTGCAAGCTGACCTCTGCGGTGAGCATGGGAAACSGGGCTCTGCTCCATGTTCTGTGCTCATTACCTTGATTGGCAAAGGCATCAGGAATGTGTGGGTTATTCAAATCAGGAATATGCGGGTTATTCAAAATTACAGGTCTAAGAACACGGCACTCGAAGGGTCAGTCCTGGCTCTCCCCTTCATAATACTTTAATTATGCTATACTGTACCACCATAGTTAACTGTTTACCACCTCTTTTCTGATTCCACTGTCTCAGGCTTGACTAGAGAAAAGATGTAGCTGAATTTTATTAAAAAAGAGCTCATATTCATCCTCTATCCCACAGAGACTTATGCACATACTTAAATTTATGTGGTGTTGAATAGTTTCTCTGAAATCAGAGGTCCATTTGCAATGCCTAAAATTGGGTACATTTTACATATATCCATGTAAACATACACAGAGATATTTTACAGAAACGCATCCCTTATAAATCCTATATAATCTTGTAAAACAGGTCCTGCACTTTTAAAAAAGAAAAATTATATGAAAATAATCTGAAATAAATTTATGGTGGACATGTGACGGATGGGACTATCTTTATTATATAAAACGAAGCTACTGTAGTTCTAAAATCATTATGCATTTTCCTCCTAAAGCTACTGTATCTTCCGACTCCAGTTCCTGGTGGACTATGGGGAGCTGTCAGGTAACAGGGATCAGGCTGTCTGTCCTTTTTGCGCTGAAGTGTAACCMGGCAAGACACAGGGATACTCCCCTCCTGTTGCTTTTCCATGTATGCAGCTGCCATGTTACTGATGTATCCATGCATTTCACAGACTGGAAGGTAGTTGGTCTATACYATAAACATGTTTTAGTAGCCCCCCTCCATGCCTCGTCTGGTTTAATTTCTACATGAATGTCACAACTCCCAGAAGTGGGACTGTTAACTATTAGCCTGGAAGTTTCTTCCTATACATCTATAGCTAAAGGAAGATTATGTCAATCCAATAGAAAAGCCTGAGGAAAAGAGAAGTCTTCTGGTTTAAGTCTGGATTATTTTGAACACACAAAAAAGGAAGTGGTTAGCTAATTATGATCCATGTGAAAATCATCAATTAATTTATATATACAATGAGAGCGATTTTGTAAACCACATTAAAAAGAAGTTTCTTCTTTAGACTGAGAGAAGTATGAGCATGCTTTAAAATTCTATAAAAGGTCACAATGATCTTCCTGAAATAAACTGCCAAATACTTAAGTTTTTGAAGTATATATGGTAACTCAAAGCAGATGAAGTTCTTCATTTTCAATGCTCTTCCCACTGATTTCAGCGATGCTGCAAGAGGCTGCAAAATGAATATGATGGAACCAAGTTTGAATTATACAATTTAAAAAAAAAAAAATGAAGCTTCTTGTTGCAAAAAGTCTTTGTGTCATGCAAAAAAAACAGTGTAATACTTTTAAATTCACTGAGAAACATGCCATTTATTTCTGCAGAATCTTATTGCATTATATGTAAGCAATTACTGTGTTTTAAGATTTCAAATCTGGGAGGCTGAAAAGGACACCCGCATGATGAGTGTGTTATGGTGCATCAGTCATTGCTCCTTAGTTTGTCCAGACAGTTTCCAAAATTTAATAGTGATGTAATATTAACATTAAA